GCATGTCAGTCTTGATGGTTCTGTAGACATTGAAGATCCATTCTCTGAAGTTGACTTGTACTTTGATAGCTTCCAGAATGCCAGACACTTCACCCTTCCTTAGATGCCCTTTGTTCACCTCTGCCACTACTTTGTTGAATACCCATTTAAGGGTCTCTGTGGAGTATTTGTTCGCTTCTGTCGGAATGAAAATCCTTAGGATGTTATTCTTATCCAAGAACACAAACCCAAAAACAGGGTTGTGAACAATGGAGTTTGGATGACACCTAAGTATCCATCCTGGCCTGTTGTTTGGAGGGGTGATCTTAAGAACTGACTGAGCTAACCTCATTGCTATCTCGAAGTCCTTCTGGCTGTAGTACTTCACTTGTGCACGCATGACCTCGATAAGCCTTCTAAGCGACAGAGCATAGCTTGACCTCCTCTCCATGTATTTGTTRAGWATTTTRTSCAAGAAGATCAAATCAAATACACAGAGGTTGTGGAGGTCAGCATCTGTGAACATGTACAGGTTGCCGTCATCCCTCTTCACAACGTATTGAGCATAAAGCACCGTCCTCTTCAGCAGGGTCCTTGGAGAAATTGTTTCAAGTGACACAATCACGTGCTCTGAGAAGACTTGCTCACGTGGCCTGGTGAGCTTAGAGAACTGGAACTTGGCATCAGAAGAAGGAATACCTGTGAGCTCTGGATCATAGGGGGCTTTGTGTCCACTGCAGAGTATCTCCACATCAGAATATCTTCCACAGTAGTAACAGGCTCTGTGCGTACTTGTTGCATGGGAATCTTGCTCATTGATTCGAATATCTCAGAAACCCTTCCTACTATGGCAGACTCTGACACTTTGGCTTCCTCTTCTTCAAGTATTGGCCTCTTGGTTGACCCCTCTGCAAGGATAGGTTTGACGGTTCCTTRCAGAGCGTCGAACGTACCCGTGGACGTTTCTCCTTGGACTTGTAGGAATTTTGATGAAGAGCCTTCACCTGCTCTGGGGATGGGACCTCTACCCTTTCTTGCTTGAGCCTCTGCCAGAGACACCTTTAATGCTTGAATGAGTGTTGGGTCGCTGTACTCCTCTTCATTTATTTGTTGTGGAGTCTCTGAGCTTGACGACCCCTTCTGTGGTGTTTTCTCCACAACTTTGCCTTTGCCTTTGTCTTTAGGCTCTGGTGCCTTTTCTTTGCCTTTTGAGAACAAGGCAGCTGTAGAGTCCACTATCTTGAGTGGTCTGGCAGAAGTCTTCTTTGGCTCAACTTTCTTCTCCCCCTCATGACGATCATGGTCATCACCTCCGTGAT